GCCCTACTCAGTGCCTTCTCGTGGCGGTGTTTTCCCACGAAAGTGAGGACAAACGCCTATATTCGGGGCTATAACCGGGACGGTGGATCACCGATAGTTCACCTAGGGAAGTTGACCAAAAATCCCAACTTCAAACCAACCAAGAGGCGTACAAACCACACACCTTCCCGGTTGTGACGGGCGCGGTTACCGACTCGATCGGACATCAAGGTGTATTGGGCACCTCGGACGTTTGACCCCGTCCAAAGGGCGTATAATCCGATTAACTGGACACCGGCCCCCAATGGATTGCGGTTTTCGCACACCACCCGGCTGCCTTGCGAGTCAGGCTTTGGCTAGCCGAAGGCTCCGGTTGTAGATTCCTCAAGAAAATTCACCTGTCCTTGCCTGGGCAACCTGGCAGCATTCCGCTCACATGCAAATCATAGAACGTTTTTTATAAAGATTATTGTACCACGATTTGTTTGGCATACTGTCTGGCGTCAGACGTCACACGATCATTTGCTATCACCTTGCAGTACGTGGTTAATTGCGAAAAGGGTAAATTGCATTCTCGATCAAGGTCCACTTTGGACAGGATGGCCGAGTGGTACAATAGGACAGTCCTCCGTCTGAACTGGTTGCCCGGGAAATAAGTTACATAAAAGAGCATAAGACCTCCAGTCAGGATGGGCCGTCCCCCTCGGTTTCCAAAGATGGAGGTTCAGCGTTGGTCTTGGAGTTGACGAAACTTCTGGTTCGGTGTGGGAGAGCGAACAGGATCTATTGATCACTTATCATTCATCTTACCGATTTGCAAGGTAATAAATTATCCTGCGAACCGGGTGTCAGTGCGCCAACCTCACCGCCGATCGTCAAGCATTGGCAATCATCACTTGAGACATCCAAGAAGCCGACTTATCATCCCTCAGGAGTCAGTCCCCCGAGATTAAAACACTAAGTGACAAACAGCTGTGTTCAAAAGCCTTGTTAACCCGCGTTCGGCCTTCCCCCTGTTACTGCTTTGTGTATTTCCCTCCTTCACTAATAGAGCAAATGGGCAGTTGGAAAACTAGCGAAAGGTGCACGGCTTACGGTTGTATGAACTAAAAACTAAAATATGCGAGCCGTGAGTTCTTCCATAAAGGCGACAAAAGTGACGTCCCCGGAAGTTACAAACCTTCAGACCCGAGTTATAATAATGTAATAATAATAGTATTAGTATTTTTACTTCCTTTTTAATTTATTGAATATACAAATGTACAGTCAACATTCAGGAAGGGGGGCCGCAGCCATACAAATGCTGCCTGAGAAGACGGGCGGCGGCGGAGCGGTTCGAACCCGGGACTTCCAGGTCACAAGTTTGTGACCTAACCACTTGGCCACCACCGCCCGTTGAATATACACGTTGAAAGGACCGGGGTTACTGTTCGAGATCATAACAGAAACGCACTAACCCGACCTGATGTATGGTAGTACAACTGGGAATCGACATGTCTAAAGGTATTACGGCTCTTGACCGACGGCTCCATAATGAGATCCCAAGGAATCGGTGTTTGACGACATCATGATTTTTGGTCTCTGAAAGCCGCCACAGTACAGCAGTACCACAGATTTGATGAACGTATTTACGATCTAAAGGGGGACTAAGTTTTAACTTCAGGGGTTCACTTTAAGACTTTCGTATAGCCTGCAAATAACGGCGGATAAAAAGACCTACGAAACCAGTGTGATTGGTCTGTTTGGTGTAGTCAGAGCGTAGGACTATCCTGGAAATGGACAACAACCGATCTTTCCACCCCCGACAGAGAATAAAACTTACAGATTTCTCATAAATTGTTTTGAATAAGAGGGTGTAAGGGAAATGTTTTTATAGAATTGTAGTTTGGATAACAAAGACAATGGGGAAGCAACCACTCGAAAGCAGTGTGCGAGTTGATCAACTTACTTACCGGTATGTTGAGCTGGGAAAGGTACTCGTAATAAGATTCCCGTGCGGCCTGGGCTTGAATGCAGCGATCTATCTCGGACTGCTCAGTCTCGGCCAACTTATCACGAAGCATTGCCTCCTCTAACTGGGTTGCTTCTGATTCCTTGATCGCCTGTGAAATTAAATCTGGTTCAGCCAACTGAATGAATTATTAATGAACCGCAAAAACGGGGAGACTTACATTCGGCTGGTAATTAGGCATCCCCAGACCGTAACCAAACGCTGGTTTGAATGGGTCAACCACAGAATTATAATGTACACGTCCGTGATAACTTAGGCGTATGGGAAATTCCTTGGAATAATCAGCGTGAAACACGTTTATAGGCTCCACTGAGTCATGATATATTTCCACTGGTCGATTATAAAGTTCTGCCATCGCCTGGATTTCTACATGGTTGCCATAACAAGTAGGATCTTTCTTTCGACAAATGTAGCGATCGAAATCTTCTGTTATATATGGTGAGAAATGTTCCTTGTTTTTAACCTAGTGAAGGTTCAGTAAAATAGTCACGAATTACCATATAATCCACGACCTGTTTTCGGACCACGTCGTGTTTTTCCTCGTCCCCAAATATTTGGTGAGCTAGAGAAAATGATACGCGAAGTAAAATGACATACAGACACTGCGGAACAGACAAGCACCATCAGGCTGAACTTTCACGATTTTCCAGCCTTTCTTTTCCATGAGAAGTTTTTCCAAACTTGTCTCTTCAACCTATAACGATAGTAACAAATTGATCCTGGATTACTTGGGAGAGTGGATCCCGTCGGATATTAGTTCCTGGATAATACTCATCCTCGCTATTGTTCCCTGTATCTTTATCGTGCACCGGGGACGAAGGAGTCTTTTGGTTATTGCCGATAGATGTACGGCATTCCAAGGGATTTTCCGTTTGCTGTGACGCCCCACGATGGCGTTGCTGTGTACAAGAAAAAGTAGTCAGACTTGGGTAAACGCTGGCCTCCCGCAACCCAAAAGCGGTATAATTTAGCGGAGTGGGCCCAACTTCCACTGGGTCTTTCACGGCCCCATAATCCAAAGGTGTGTCGTGTTGGTGACCAGGACGCACCCGAGTGCGGAGGGAGCTCTCTTTACGTTCTTCCGGATAGGCGTAGGGCTTATATCCATGACTGTGGCGAGAGCTGCTTGGAGCGCTGGAAGAATCCCAGTCACAGGGCCTTTCCGACTTCACACGTTCCTTCCGGTTTTTAATGGTCATACCACGCTTATTATAGTTGGGATATATTGAAAGCTTTCCGATTATATCGTCTACTAAACTGTCCAGATGAGTGTCTGAAAGTTCGGAATCACTAGAGAGTTCAGATCCACTGTCAGAGATAAATCCACCGCCTCCTTTGGACACCATTACGTCGAGGCGCCATTTTCTCGTGTTTCAATCTGTGACTAGTGAAGCATTATTACGAGATCGGTAATGCATTATTAGTGGCTAATTTCGATAATATGTTTAAAAAGATCGCTTTAAGTGCATCTTCTAGCAGCGCAAATTTGAATCTCAGAAGTGTTACGGTACCATTATGTTTTGTGCCGCTCAGGCCAGGTCAAGTTGCACAAAACTGAATATCGCCATAGAAAATCGAGTGTCTAGAATTCCTTCCACGGTAGGCTCACCCGGTACAGCTGTAGCTCTGCAACTAGATGAGCTCATGTCAGGTTGCACAGGACTGGTAGTGGCCACAGGCCGATCAGGCGTCCAGAATTCCTTCGGTGGTGTGCTCATGAATGTGTATCCACCTCTGCGATCTGTCTCCTTTTCTTTCTTTCTATCTGCAAACAGAGAAAAAGGGAGACTTTACTTCTCGCCGTTTCGGCGAGAGACTTTTACGGCGAAAGCGTTCCATGTTACCCAAAAACAATTTATTCACCAAACATTCTCTGTCTGGATCAGCTTCTACCCAGGGATTTTGTAGAATTCCTACCATGGATAGTAGGTGTTCCATGCTACCTATTTTCGAATAACCTCCTTTTGCAGATACGGACCCGATAAGGGAGGCTGTCCGGACGAAGAAATCGGCTGTGGTCAAACGGTCGACAAGAAGTCGAAGCTCCGGAAGAACGTGGTTCTGACTGAGACAAGAATCTGGACGCTTGGTTGGCGAAAGCCTTTACCCTCCTGTGCAATCTGACCTAACCTACTGAAAAGTAAGCCAGGAATGGGATCCCAGTTCGGTTCCGTGCACAGGACGTTGACGGCAGTTGGCCAGGTCGTCCAGTTTCGTGCACTGACAAGCTACAAGGATCTCCCGGTGCTGTGTTAATGGGATGAAAGGGTTCGTCTTCAATGGGATACATGTATTCATTGAAAAGGTGTATGACGAGGTCCAACGCAACTCTATTCTCTTCAAACTTGCTGGACATGGGATTGTAGAACAACACTATCACTTATTCGTAGCATCCTTTGTGATCACTCATTAGCTGTGCTGTTTAGTAAATCTTCATCACAGCCCAGCCTAATCAAGTTAGGTCAGGGGTCTTTATGTTTCTGCCAGGGGACGTTCATGTTCTTGCACTTGTGAACTGTTGGTTCCCACTGTGCTTCGACCGCCAGGTATTTCCACCGTTAAGTGATGGATGATATATCTACAGGAAAAGAGGTGAAAAGCAGGATCGCCCTCGGGAATATAGCAGTCTGAATCATTTGACAAGCGCCGCACCTCAGCGAACTGCTATGCCTGCCGTGAGAGCTACCCTGGGGCTATAAAGTGTTGGGGTATTTATACTTTTACTGTAGCCCTTTTAAATTATTCTATGCCTGCCCATTTACTATAGTTCATTGTTACGTTTATTATTAATGTTTCCAGAATAACTAGCACCGCTAGTCCCCGGGCAAGAAGATATGTAGTGATCATGATTGTACGAAGAAAAGGAGCAATCCACGAGGACGTTTTCCGTTCATATTTTCTTCACAATCAACTCTGACTCCAAGTGTGATATTTCTTTGTGTTACTTCTGCTTGTTTGACTGAGCCCGGTTTTCCGCTCAGGTATAAATATAAGCTGGGTCCTGTTCAAACCCACGCAACACGTGTGACACGCTTTCGCTTTGCTACTGCATTTATTGCTTGCATTGTTTAGCGTCACCTTGGCACGTTTCGGTACTATCTAGTACCACGATTCGCCAATAAACGTCTACGACTCCCACGAGTGTTTTTGTCTACTTCGGGCAACGAGACACTAGGAGGTCGCGCGCATACTGAGACTCGTAAGAAGACATACCGGAAGGCCGTCNTTTCCTCACGGTTCATTATCATTTGCACGATATAATTGTTTATCGCATTTGTACAATGCCCGAGGAACGTCCAGCAGTTGACGATAGGGAGCTGGACCTACTGTTTATTAGTTTAAAGCCAGTAGCCTTCTCCCTCATGACCCCGAGGTGTGGTTTGCTGCGTTAGAAACGCAGTTTGTCGCCCGTAACGTGCGGAGCCAGCGCTCCAAATACGTTTACGCA